TTTTTTTTTGTTACTTGAAACCAGCTTACGCATTCTTGTAATTTTTACATTTTCTCACTGAAATTTCAATCTCGAAAGACATGCATGAAGTGACCCCCAGTCCAAACAATCTAAGTTAAATAGTTAAGGCCGATTTTTACGAAAACAATTAACTACTCTGGTTCAATGAAACAATTATATACCTGCCAACTTTTAATCTTTTCAAGGATGATTTTCCCCAGTGGTAGTAAAATGAAATTTAAATTACACTATAAGGCAAAAACATTCGCTGTATTTTGAACAAGCTTATGCTGATTACTACAACAATATTACATATTAAGATATATGCTTATTTTTTAAAAAAATAGTGGCGGATCAAAAATATTCTAAATTAAGTTTATAAATGCAAGGAATATATAGAAAGCATTCATTTTACTACCACTTTAAATTTAGAAATAAAATTTTACGCCAAATGCGTAAAAGTTGGTAGGTATGCAATTATAAATGAATCATTAATATTCTTGTTTTTTAATTACGAAATATTAGGAGAAATTTGTATTCATAATTTCTTCGAAACGTGTGTTAAAACTATGATTATAAGTTATTTAAGTAGAAAAAAGTCAAATGGAGAAAAATAACAATTTTTGTTTTGATGAATTTAAAAATAGCACGTTTTTCGAATCTTTTGACAATTTTTAATTTTAGTGGTCGTTTAACAAAACAAGGCATATCGAACATTTTCCTGATATAGCAATATTTCTTCGATCTGTGCAAAAGTTGAGAAACAACTTTTTAAGCAAATATTTTCAACTTTTTGAAACAAAAGGGTAACTTTATTTTAGTTAGCGCACAAGAATAACTTTCACCGTCGAAATAAAATTGTATGTCCATAGTTTTTTGTTCATTTAAGAAAAAAAAAAAACAATCGGTTGTATTTTTTTGTTGTGCACACATACGCATTTACTTTTCATTACTCGAATAAATAAGAAACAGAAAAAAGAAAATTAACAATTTATCTTCATTTTTCGTAAACAATAGTATTCTTAGTAAATAGTCAGCTGTTCTGCATCGAATGATATTGTGTTTGATCAGTAGAATATTTTTAATTTCTTAACAAGATTTAATTCTCAGATAGCTGGCAACAATTCTAAGTTTTCTTTCAATAAGAATTTAGCTATAATTTAAAAAGTAATTTTTTTTAAAGGAAAACATAAATTAATAAACTAAAACTATTGATCAGTATATTATTGGAAAATAATATACACCGAAGAGCCATTGTATTATGACAACCCTGCTAATAACATGTATGACCACCTTTAGTCCTCAAAACTACTAGCACCCGCCGTGGCATTGATTCCACAAGGTGCTGATAGGCAGTTTGAGGTATCTGGTTCCAAGCGCTCACCAACTGGTCCTGCAATTCCCTCACATTGCGAGGGGGTAGCGTGGCAGCACGAATTTGGTTTTCCAAGTAGGACCACAAAGGCTCTATTGAATTAAGGTCAGGTGAATTTGGAGGCCAAAACATGATTTGAAAGTCACTGGGATGTTCCTCGAACCAATCCATGACGATTCGACCCTTAAGACATGATGCATTATCCTGTTGGTAAACACCATCACCAGCAGGAAAAACTGTTGCCATGAATGGGTGAACCTGGTCTACAACTATGTCCAAATAGCTTACGGACGTCAGGAATTGTTCTATGAGGATTATGGGTCCTAATGTGCCCCATGTAAACATTGTTCCTGGACGAGAAACCATGAAAACCTGGGCAAGCCCATTGTTATAGATAGAGGGTGGTCATACTATAATGGCTCTTCGGTGTATATGGTAGAATAAAAAATAAGATTTTGCATTAAAATTCAATAAAAAAGTTAGAAAAATAATTCTGCGAAATACGCGCAGATAGGTAATTTACAAATTTATTTTATGATCATGGAGATATATAAGATGTAGAGAAGTTTTAAGATCATTAAAAATGCTGACTACGTATTTTTATTAATATTCATAAAATATATATTCAAGAAATTGATAAATACATTATTCCAAATCTATGCATATGCGTGTATATTATTGAAATTGTATCAGTTATTGAAAAACAAAATAAAAAAAAATAAAAAATAATCACATTAAATAAGCACAATCTGGTGTATTCTATCAGAAGCACGCTTTTTTAAAACTAGACATTTGTTGAATAAAGTGTTTTTTATTCAAAATTCTTTACTAAATTGCAAATAAATTATTAAATGAAAACGGAAGAAACATCGTATTTTATAGTGTGAAAGAAATAAAAATAAAAAGATTAGCAAACGATTATTAGCGAAAAAAATATGAATGAAATTTTACGCTACGCGCGCGAAGTCAAGTTCCTCCCAAGTTTATCACATTTTAATATTAATCGCCCCAATTAGTTATTTCTTTATTGTCGCCAAATTATTTTTTTAAAAATAATTAATTTTAATTTTTCTCAGCTTCTAATAAATAAAAACAGTTGAAACTTTAGATTTTTCAATTGAAAAATATGTAGATTAATATGGTATAAAAAAATTCATACCTTATAATTCAATATTTTTTCATCCTCACTTTAATTAAATAATAAAAAATAATAAATAATTATTAAAAATTATTTTTTGCATGAAATTATCTTTGGGTAAATGAGTTTTATGAGTGGGTGCAATTTTTTTTGAATTGCTTCATTAGTTTTGAAAATATGACTGAAAACGCAAAAAGCGAAATTAACATTAAGGGGTACGAACTTTGAATCGCTCTCCTGACCAAACTATGGGGACCACATTTCCCAGATTGCGGCTACCCCCTATATTTTGAAGATAAGAAATCCAAATATGTAAAAAAAAATGCATGTTTATTCAGAGAAAGTACGTTTTTGTGTCTGATTTCGTAACTTAATTAATAGTTATCACTAATTAATTAGCATATTTGAGGTCACCCCCAGGAACCATTAAGATGGACACTTAGTTCGTGAAAATCCGATCATTAGAACGAAAGTTATTCAGGGTGATATCTTTTTTTTTTTGCGGACTGTACTACGATATTTTCCCTTTTCATTTAATAAAAATAATTTTTAAGATTTCCGTGATGCTTTGCTTTAGAAGTATGTTTACTGCAGTTTTCAGTTCCATATAGTTTTCCAACTTAAAAGATTTTAATCTATATGAAAATCAAGAGAGAAACTAACGTACTTCCTTCCTCTATGACTATCCACACGCTATAGCGGAGTGGAGAAAGCATGTGAAGTGTTGCTATAGGTAGAGAGTTCTGCTCTACGCCACCTGCAGCTTATTTCGATCGCCAATATGTACCAGTAAATAAATAAATAGAAGGCTAAGCATAGAAGCATGCAAATGAATGATATAAAGAAATAAATAAAACGAAAGTTAGAGGAGGCCTCTCTAAGTGGTCTCACCATTGTGTAGTGTGGAGGTTGCGGGTTCGATTTCTACCGTAGTTTTGTAAAATCCTTTTCTACAATTTAATCTATCTTTTCCTTTTCTTCAAACTAATTGCTATCTGTTTTTCAATCTGACAAAAGCTTATTAACCGTAATTTCTGATGAGTTTTCAACCTGCCAAGTAATCGCATATGAGAATTCTGTGATGCGAGCGAGAACTTGATTGGTGAAGTTTTCGCGGGTGAATAAATTTCACCAATCAGACTTTTCTTCGCATCTCCGAATTTGCATACACGAATATTTCACATGCTGTGCGAAAGGTCCCTATTGTACTTATTTCAACAGCAACTATTTGGTGCGCGCCCTCTTTGCTGAATTTTGTGCTGAAGGTAAACTTTTTTGTTTTGTTCCTTTCCACTGACTGATAAAAGTGATTTCTGAACACTAAAAAGTTAGCTTCAGTTTTCGTTCTTAATAACCAAAAATTATATTTGTTTGGGACGAAATGTTCAAACTCAAAAGTCGTAAAAGTTTGTTCAGGATTGTAGTATCTAATTTATTGGAAGCAGCATTTCATTTCTGTGTGATTGAAATTGCATGCAAAGATTCACAATGGTAGTATGTTGGGCCAAGTTTATCTGATATCGATGTTTAATTTATTTTAAAACCAACTGATTGTGTGATCTTCATTAATTAGCTGAGATGAATGGACATTCCGGGATAGACACTTTTGAAGCCACAGAACATTTAAAAAACATTTTGAATGTTGGAAAAAACGATTTTGATTCTGGTATTTTTCCCTTTTCAAAGTGAAATTTTTTAAATGTATAATTATGTCGCTCATTCAGCGAAACAATATGTTCTAATCTTGTTTTCTTTGTTAATATATTGATTAGATTTCAATGCTAGCTTTATTTCTTTTTCCACCTAACTTTTATCCTTTTTATAAGTGTGTGTAAAAATGTGTCCAATAAATAGATTTTTATTAAATTTATCTACTCTGTTAGTTTAGATCAAGAAATCTTATATGTTAGCATATTGAATTATTTACTAAATATTCAGACATTGCAGACGAAGTATGATTATAGTAGTTAGTTTATCCATGTTTACTTTAAAATTTTTTTTATATTTTAAGTAATATGCTTTTATACGATTGAACTCACTAAATTACGACAAAATGCGTTTGCCAATTAAAAAAAAAAAGTGATTAAGAACAGTTCTCGTTATCGAAATTACCGTGAGCTAAACAAACAGTAGTCGATAATGTCCTGCAATTTTTCTTTCAACAGGGAGGTTTGTAGAGAAGCTATTGAAATAGAATCATAATCAAGGTCTTATTACTTTAAAGATTAGGAATAAGTTTCTCATGGCTTGATTAAATATAGGCCTTGGGCCTGCTATATCAAAGTATAAATTTATTTCTAAATGCTATAATTAAAAAGTATTGAAAACTGTGACATTTATGCTTATAAATTTCCTTTAAATTTTTTATATGGTTGAAATTTTTTTTTTTTTACGTTTTGAATGGTTTTTTGTGAAACAGTCACAATTTGGAATCAGTTAAATGTTTTAAAAATGATTGTGCCTTGAAGAGAAAACATTTCAATTGAGTAGTCTAATGTGTTAAATTGGTATGCTTTAATTTTTTTAGTTAAAGATCTTTTATGTTTCATATTAAATGCAGCTTCACCAGTTTTTAGAATTAAAAATGCAAAAATTTTATTCAGCATTCTAACCAGTTGAGAGTTTCTTATTGATGTACGCACATAGCTTTGTTGAACTTGGATTGTAGGTTTTTCTAATTAAATACCTAAATATATGGGAGAGATTTTTGTACTGTGATCTGCAGCAGAATAGACACAAAATATTGGCAGCTTTCGGTCAGCGACTCGCAAAAAACTTTTAAAAAAAGTCACAGAAAGGGACAAACTCGAAGGATATAGCTCGTAGCCACCAATGGATGAACCTCTGTGTTTTTTTAGTTTTAAAATCTTTTTTTTTTATTGTAGTTGTGTAGCAGATCATGATACAGAAATATCTCCAATACCTAATTCATCATTACATAAATTTCTAGAATGTTATTAGTTATAATTTTTTTGTGTGGCCTTTGGGACTTTCAGACTTAAAATTTGATAGAATTGAATTGATCTTCTTTTTTTGTTGTTGTTTTTCTTTTTAGTCAATAATTGCAAAAAGTTTTCATTGATTGAATATAACTCATTTGACAAAAACTATATTATATAATTAATATGATTCTGAAAAAAGATTTATTGATTATTATTTATCTTATAATACACGACTAAGAATGTTACAGGATTTAGAAGGAAGGATAAAGTTAGCCTCAAATTATGTGCATGATAATGATTAGTTTTAGTTGTTACTTTATTGCAGAAAACTTCTTTTCCAAATGTTTTAATATTTTTTTTCTTTGTCTTTATTTTTCTTGCCACTTTAACTTTTGTTCTTTATTTCTGCAGGCAGAATGAAAACTTCAAATGGTGCCATGGAAACAGCAAATGAGCTACACGATGGTCAATATCAGAAAATGTAAGTTACTTTAATGCAAGTTTCAATAAGGATCTATTTAAACAGCTCTGTTAGGAAAAAAGCTTAAAAAATTTTGATTTTGTTTAGAATTACTTAAAATTTTGTAGAATGGAATTCAAAATTTTATTTAATTGCATTTAAAGCTTGAATTACAGAGTATATTGGTTACCAAATATGGGGTCTGTTCAGGCCGAATTTACTACTGCTTAGCGGTACCTTCACAAATTCAACTTTAGGAATTTCACAAAATACTTTTTCTTAAAATTTTATTTCTGTATCCCTTAAGAAACGATAAATCTATATTTTTACCATGTTTTTGTATTGATTTTTTAATTTTTCTCAAATTCTGTCTAAATCTTCACAAAATAGGTACCTTTCAGAAAAACCTAGACAGACCCCTGCAAATGTTTTGGGCGTAGAACTTAGTAGAGAACTTTTTAAATCTCAAAAGTTTTAAAGCCCTTGATTTGTAATTCCAAATAAAAGTGCCATTGTATATGTGGGTTATTTTCTTATTCTTAATTCATTAATCCTTCCTTAGGCTATATTTCTTTTTAAAATATTTATTTTCATTATTTAATTGTTTTGTTTATAATACTCAATGGGAGTAATGTATTTAAATTATGTTTTTTTTTAAAAATAATAATTAGTTAAAATGTTATCATTGTTCTTTGTTTACCACTCACATTTCTGATCTTTTCAAGTAATTTACTAGTGTTGCAAAAATTGATGCAAAGTATGTTTATCTACTTGAATATTTATACTTAACATTTTAAGAATAATTTGTATATTTAGTTTGACACATAATTTTATATTCCCAAGTACAAGTGCCAATAAACATTTATTGATGGTTCTAGTTGAATACGATATAAGTTCCATTGTACTAAGAACACTTTTCTCTACAGAACATTAAAGTTTAATTGCAGATCCATTTCTTAAGTCAATAAGTGTAATTTTATCTAAAAAATTAAAAAAACTACAGGTGACTTAATCAAATTTAATTACTGTCTCTTAATTTTCCTGTAATAAATTACAAGCTACTAAAAAATTTTTAAATTGTGCAAATTATATATTAACTTTTAGAAAATATGGATAGTTTAATTAAATACTTATCATTTATCTGGAAAAACTAATTTTGTAATTACTAATCCTACTCAAAGGGCATTAATTACCAGGGGGCTATAATTACTTAATTATTTAAAAAACTTTTGTGTGTTTGATTCATTTGGTTATGTTTAGTTTCTTTTTTGATGTATTTTGAACAATAATTAGGGCTGCAGGTCTGTCGCTGCGCGAATTTCCGCAATGATTTCCGCAAAATTGTCATTTTTTCCCCAAAAATCTGCAAATTTCTCAATATGTCTTGACTTGCGCTAAAATTGCTTAAAATTTTTTTTCTTTCTTTATTATTTTTATTAAACAGATTTTTTTTCCTGAACCTTAAATTGAACATGTAAAATTGATTAGATATTGAGGGGAGTGAATCAATAGAAAAATGACATGAAAATAGTTCAGAGATAAGAGATAATCACAATCTTGTCAAGTAAGGTGGTCTTTCTACAATTAGGGAGGGTAATTACCTTCCTGAAGTCAGTAAGAGTACAAAAGAAATTGGAATCACAAAAGAAGGAAAATGTTATAAATCAAATCTTTGACAGAAAAATTGTTATACATGCTATTGCACTGGGCAATGAAATTTCTACTGCCTTTCTACATGTCCAGTTAATTTTTCCTAAGCGGCTTCTTGTGATTTCTTAAATATGGATCAGTTTCTTAGATGAAGGGGGGGGGGGACTAGTAGTTAGTAGGGACTTGTAACTAGTAGTTTGAATGTAAAATGTTTGAGTTTTCTCAGCAATTACTTCTTATGAAGCAACGGTCAAGGAATTGCGCGTTGGTGAAGGAAAATTGATCGAGTTTTGGAAATCAAAGACCGAACGCTCCAAAATTGGCAAAAGTGCAAATTCCAAGTTTGTCGGTGCCTAAAAACAGCGTTGACGCAGAAAGATTGTTTTCTAAGTATAAAAATGTATTAAGTGATGAAAGACGAATCATAATGAGAATAATCCTACAATGTACAAAATTTTGTACCGAAATTCTGTTCATTTAAATAAAAATATTAATATTGCTTGAAATTCAAAGAAATACTTTTGTGTATTTTTAAGCTTTTTTTATTATTTACGCAATTTCTGTCTTTTGCATCATTTGTATAATTTTTTTTATGTTTAAAATTTGTGTAATTTTCAAAATTTCCTGCGAATTTTGGGTTTTTTTTCCCGCGACAAACTTACAGTCCTAACAATAATAATTAATATAATAATTATTTGATAATAAGAAAATTGTCAGCAAATATAAGAATACTGAATTTTAAAACTTAAGAGCAGATTTATGACTATTTTAATGTTTTTAAAATAAAATAAAATAATCTATTTACAAGTGCTTAAAGAGTTATGAATATATTCTGTTTTGTGTTCAAACTGTAGTTTGATTTAGAAAATCAAAATATTACAATATTAACTTAATAAAAAAAAAAGCCAAATAGCTAAAAAGATTTTTTTTCTAATTTTAGCTGTATTTTATTATTTTTTAAAAATTTTAGTTTGAAGTTCACTTGGCATATTTTTTTTGTGCACATTTTGAAATTAAGAAAAATAATAGTGTTTTTTTTCAGTATATTACTGTCCCTTTTTATAGTTACTGTCATGGTATTCAAGAATACATTTTAAAAACACAAACATGAGTTATGGAATTAAAATTATGAGTTTGCTTGTGGTCTTAAGGTAATATAAAAATATAAGTGATTCAAAAATTCATTTGCAATGAAAAAGTAAAAAAAATTATGATAATTCTTAATATTTCTTCAAAATTCTACATATCTATTTCCCAGAAAAATATTAATTTAATTTTTAGTTAAATATTATTTAAAATAATTTTCAATGTTTACTTATTAATCTTTGATTCATGGAAAAATAAAGTTAAATATTTTCACTTAGCATTTAAGAGAGGGTACAGCAATTACATTTTTCAATGCAATTACAATTTAAAACTGTATAATTTAATATTTTTTGAAGTTTTTTTTTATTGATGGTTGTTGACTTGTGAATTTAAATATATTGTATCGTCTTAACATAATAATTACTAACAATAAGTTAATTATGAGATGAATTGTCTTAAGCAAAAGTTAACGTTTTGAGAAAATAACTCCTATATATGGCTTGCAAGTGGACACATTAAATGCTTTTCTTTTGATAAGAGGCAGATATAGTAATTCTGTGAAAATTTCTCCTGGCATTTCTTGAACTGTGCAGATCACGACAAGGACAACATAAATCTTAGAGTTCTTCTCGTTTATGACTTTTTGAAGGTTCTTTTGCTTCTAGACAATCTTATTTATTATAAAAAATTTGGTATTATATGTCACTACCATATTTATGTATATATTTTTTTCTGTAGTGAAATACCATCTAACAAGGATAGTTTTCATGTTGCTGTCTATGGTAATGAAGTTGAAATCTTATCCAGCTGTCTGGAGACAGGATGTGCAAGCAGTCAGGTTTGTAGATTTTATGTTTTCTTACTGTTTTACACATTTTATATTGTTAATAGACTAAAATAATTTTTTCACTAACTTGGAAAGATTTTTAAGTTCTTTCCCAGTTAACTGGTGAATGGAAATTTATTGCTGCACAATTTTTAAATTATTAGTATTGTATTATTAGTAAATAGTAAGTATTAGTATTTAGTAAGTATAATAAGTCTTGCTCTCTTTTCTTATTGATAAATTGCAATGTTAGGGATTTAATATTTATTTAACATTATTCAAAGGAACTTCTTCAGAGTCTAACTATAAAAGGATGCTATTTATAATAACTTTGGCAAGATAGTATAACATTTTGATGTACCTTCCAACTACCTTACTAACTGAAATTATGTTTGTTTCTCATGCTACTGTTACAGAGTTAAACAGGGTTATGTTCTTTAGTTTCTCAAGTCTATACTAAATAGAATATTTTTATTTTACTGCTGGCAACATAAGTTTTTTTTTTTTTTTTTTTTAAAGTTGATAACTTTTTAGGGATTATCATTGATGACTGAATACAGTGATTCCACTAGATTTAGGAAATCATGGGTCCGTAGGACCCAAGACTTCTAACCTTTCAAGTTCTTTTTTACTAAGAGCAGGTTTCTATTTAAAATAATGCAAATCTCTCTTATAAAGATATAGTATAGAAAAAGTGAATTTTTTATGTTTAAGAAAAAAATGGGATTAATTATTGAATATATAATCATGGTGTGTAGCGTTTTTTAAAAAGTGCTTAAAGGTGCTTATTTTATATTTTTGTTTTATAAAAGACCTTAAAGGTGCTTTTTTCATGGGGTGTTTTTAAAAAGTGCTTGATTTTTCCTTTTCAAAAAAGAGATTTTTTGTTGTTTTCCGTGTCAATTTTCGCTGTGTATTAGGCAAAAGCGTGGTTTTCACATTGTTCTATTCAACGTTTTCACAAATCATTCAACCTCAATCGGCTTCGGTGTACCGTCGGTCTGCAACATATGATAGAACCCCAATCATGTTACCTGTTTGAGGAAATAAATACTTGGGAGTCTGTAATTGCATCTACTGAACTAGGTGCGAAGAGATAAAAGTTTGCTGAAGGTTGAATAAAATACATATTACTGTAAACTAAATACTATGTATGTTTCTTGAATGTAAGGAGTTTACAGATGAGCAAAAAATATAATTAAAACAGATTTAATGTGGAAAAAAAGATGGGGAAAAATCTTCAAGAAGTAATAAAAAATATCTGATTGTGAAATAGATGATAGATTCTGTATGTCTTTATCCATCTATTAATATGTGAATCGATGTAGTCCCATTTTTTGATAGACAAAACTAAGAATTTCAGAACATGAAATGAGTTATATTTCAACTCAAAATTTTTTTAGAACTGATTAAACATTGCATTAAAAAAAAGCAGCAATGAAATTTGGTACCAAAGTTTATTTTCTTTCTCTATTCTGCAGAAGAAAAAAAAATGTTTTTTCAAAATTATATTTTATTTTGCCCATAAAAATTTCAGTTTTTTTAAAGAAAAATCCGTATTCGAGAACTTTGCATCCCCTGTAGGTTTCTTTGCGTACTTGATACTCTGCAGATTCGCTGTGATGGGAAGAATTTCTTTTTTAAGAAAGTTTTTTGATTCCGTTAGTGAAGTTTTAGGAAAGACAAAATATTATTTCAATCTTATGTGTTCTTTTCCTGTCTATTCGACACCAGTTATGTATATGCACATGCACGAATGCTGTTTGTGAGAATTTTTTTTCTTGTATCACTCATTATAAACTAAACTCATTGTAAACAAAATTCCCCATTCTTAACCTACAGGTCTACCTTGTAGATATTGATATGAGCATTTTTTTCTTTGCTTTACACAACTGCACTTTTCCCCGTGATTAGGTCATTGCATTTCACTTTCAGGCATGCTGATATATATAATAATCAATAAGAGTGTTCATTTTGTTGCGGCAAACACTAACTCCAATTAGTTTGCGCCACCAAAAGTATTCAGAATATGTAGGTTACTCTGAGTATGGCAAGAGAAAAAAGAGAGAACTGAAAATATCGTTGAATTGGCTTTTTGAAATATCTTTGGAACGCTGTGTTTTGTTTTGTTTTTTGTTGTTTTTTATTTAAAATAAATGTTTTGTTTTGCCTGTTTTTAAACGTTATCAATCAATAGACAAGATGCCTCTCACAAACACAGTCAATCCGGTTAGGAACGACACATTTTCTAAAAATTAAAACAAATATTAAATACAAATATTACAATTCTAAAAATTATTTTTTTTAGAAATTCCTTTTTGTTCCTTTAAAAAAATATTGGCAAAAAAGAAGGCAAGGAAAGGGGTGAAACTAGTTTCAAGAGTGAATTAATATTGCGATGTTTAAGAGTTAATTATAATTGCTTACAAAACGTGTTTTTTTAATTGAGATTTTTTTTGTTCGCAGAAATTTTTCTTTTTGTCTAAGTCTGTTTGATTTATTCTTAAATGTTTTATATGTATAAACCATTAATTTTTCTGCAGAATGACACGATCATGGAATGTAATTTTATGAGTAAGTTTCTCAGAAGTATAACAGATTTTATTTAATTATATATCATAAATATTTTCAATGTGCATATGAATTATTTGCATTAAAACTCAAAATTTTTTCAGTATCTTTATTATAATTTGCTAAATTGTTTTTCAGGTAATGGTTGAGAATTTAGTGGACTACGGTTGGGAGGAAAAATACTACCATGGAAAATTGGTCAATGTGCATCTCAGTGGTTTATACCTTGCATATGTTTTAAAACGTAAGTAGTTCATCACTTATTAGCAGTTAATGATTTTATCTAACAATCAGATTTTTATGTATGAAAATCCTATTTTGATAGCTTGAATGGATAACCTTACGTGTGTTTTGTTTTGTGTAGATAACATTTTAAGTTATAAAATCAGACTCAAAAATGTACTTTCTCTAAATACAAACTAATGTTTTTTCCCTCTGATTTTGTACCATTAATCTGGAACCACAATCTGGCAAATATAATCTCAATTGCTTAGGTAGGATATCAATCTTGGGCCCTTTAATGTAAGTTTCTCCTTTTATGTATCTCACCTAACCTTTGAAAATATTTAAAATAATCGAATTAATGTACACAATAATGAAATTTGCTTATGCTACGGCAATTTTATGAAAAAATACATTTTTATTTTAATGACAATCAAAAAAAAATTTAAATTGTAAAGTTGCAAATCTTTACGAAATCAATCAAATATCTCTCGATAAATTCAAATTTTAGATGATACTTTTTTTTCTACTATTCATCGTGAAAAAATTTAATTAACATTTGTTCTGTTCATTAAATTCAAGTCTATATTTTTGTTATATGTATGAACTCTGATACGATTGATAAAAATTTATATATTTGTTATTTACTTAAATGCATTATTTGCTATTTTATTATGATAAATAGCTCAGTGACTACGAGAAAATGCTACTAAACTGTCTTCTTGGGTAAAACATACAGCTGTCTATCAACTTTTCAAAGTTAAGAATCTTAGTCGTAATATTTCTTGTAATGTGATTCACAGTTGCATGAATTTTACATTTCCTCATGGGTTTTGGTTATCAAAACAAATGGAATCAATTTTCCAAATTTTTATTGTGGGAATTGATCTGAACATTTGAATTAAGATTAATATATTGGGATGTAGTCATTCTTTTTAGTTAGGGCTACATGTTTGTAACAGGTAAAAAAAAAATTAAAATTCATGGAAGATTTGTAAGAAACTTTAAAAATTGTGCGGAATACTTGATTCAAATAAATAATTAACAGTTTTTTTGAAATGAACATTGTGGAAACAATGAAAATAAAAGCATATAAAAAAGCTGAAAATTTTTTTATGCATTATTTTTATTGAAATGAGCAGAAATTTGGTACAAAATATTGCATAAATATTGTTTTGCTCTTCACCAAACATCAGTTTGGCGGCATTTGCACATGTTTGTCAACACAAAAGAGCAAGAAATTTTATTACTTACAGCAATGCCTTGTGTTATCCCCACATTTCAGTTAATTTTCTGATTATTGAGGACTCCAAGTATACATAAAGCATCTGTTTCCAATGGTATTCTTATTGTACTTGCATTATAATACTTGTTGTTATTGTATACTACTCTTATTTTATGTTGTTCTTATTGTATTTCAAGAGGTCTTATATACAGGGATGAGATTTTTCCGCTTTTTAGCGGATTTCCGCCTTTTTCACTTCTGTCTCTTGAATTTCAGCCTTATTATCAAAAACTCCAATTTTCCAAAAGTTTAAGTTTTTTAAATAAATGTTTCGCCTTTTCTGAAAATTAAGTCGTTGAAATAAAATAATTATATTTATTTCCGATTTGATATATAGATATAATGTATCGAAAGCTATATTGAAAATTCAAACTACATAGCTGCTAACTCTTCTACATATCTACTTATTTTAGCTTTTACGAGCAGAAAATAAGATTTTCTTAATTTTCCCCCTTCCGCTAGATAGCTCGTATTTTAATATCAAACTTCGATGTTCGTATTTACCTGATTTAAAAGTTGTTCACTGCGATTCTTATTCACGCGATTTCAATATCGTTCATTGCGTTTCTTATTTACGAGATATAAAAATCCAATAACGCGATTTGTATTGAGGCATTTTTAAAATTCTATGTAACGATTCGTATTCACGGCGAATTTATCCAAAGTCGTGATTAATTTTTGTGGTTGTTATATTCAACATCTATTTTCGTACTTACATGTGATTTAAAAATTATCCTTTGGATTCGTATTCACGCCACTTAGAAATTATGCATCGTAATTCGTATCTTGGAGAAATTGAAAGGTTTTAAGGAAAATGATTCTTCAGCTCAGGCTATGATTGAAGAAGGAAACCAGAGGCTAAAACAAGGACTCAAGCGGAAATCTATGGCTGATATTGAGGCTGGGCAAGCACTTATTGATGCTGGCAGCAAAAAGTTAAAGACTTTGCAGAATGATAAATGAATCTAAAAGCAATGCTGCATAATTTTTGAAATAATTTAATGTAATAGAGAGAAGTAAATAAAATGTTAATTATTGAAAAAGTCATTAGTTTGATAAAGTTAATTTTTTAATGTGGTTTTTAATTTTTAAAGCAATAATAAGGTATGTATGATTTTATTGTCACCATTCAGCTGCGGAAAATTGTTTACATATTTTTTTTATCAAATTTTTATAGTGTTAAATAATTAAGTTTTAAAGTTATTCATATATGATCTGTGCTTTTCAATTTAAATTAGATCTTTTTTGCCCTATTTTTTATTCCAGAAAATCCTATATTTTTTTTCTAGAAAATCCTATATTTTTTTCAAAACAATCCTATTTTTTTCTCATTGGTCACTTCTACCCCTGATGATGGTTAAAAGCTCTCTAAATTACTTCAATTATCCATGGATGGACCCTATGTCAATTGGAAATTCTATTAGAAGCTTCAGTGTGAATTTAGAGAGAAATATTTCCACCAGGTCATATTCA